TATCGCGAGGAGCAGGGCACCTGCCTGCCCGTCTGCAGCCAGGGCTGTGTGCGCGGCAAGTGCATCCGGCCGGACGAGTGCCAGTGCGACTTTGGGTATGTGGGTGCCAACTGCAGCATCCAGTGCCTGTGCAACGGCCACTCGAACTGCGAGTCGAGCAGCCTGCTGGACATCTGCCTCAAGTGCCACAACAACACGATGGGGGAGCAGTGCGAGAAGTGCCAGCCACTGTTTGTGGGCAATCCGCGCGAGGGCCATGCCTGCCAGCCCTGTCTGGAGTACTGTCACGACCACAGCGATGTCTGTGTGGCCTACGACTCGGATCCGGCTGTCTTCAATATGTCACGCTCCGATTTGGATCGCATACTGCTCGAGGGCCCGGCCCACAATGCCACGTGTCTGAGATGCGCCAATCACACGGCCGGCGATCGCTGTGACAGCTGCCTCACGGGCTACTTTCGCGGCAGCGAGGATCTGCACAAGGAGTGCCGCCCGTGCCAGTGCCATGGCCATGGCAGCATCTGTGACCCGGTCACGGGCGAGAAGTGCAATTGTGCCAACAACACGGAGAGCGACGCCACCTGCACCGCCGGTGGCGGCAAGAATTCCGCACAGCTCTGCTGGAGCGTGCAATGCTCCAAGTGCCGCGACTCGTACGCGGGCAATCCCATCGATGGACATCAGTGCTACAAGCAGATCACAGTGGAGTCGCGCATGTGCTTCGATGCCAAGCCGATAGGTGAGTGCCCATTATCGAATGTCCTTTGCTTTGCTCTTCTAACCTTCGCTTCGCTTCGCTTACGCAGAGGAATGCAAATCGAAGCCCGCCGCCCTGAAGCCCGGCCAGACGGTGTTCTTTGTCATCCAGCCGAGGTTCATGAACGTGGACATACGCATCATCATCGATGTGACACAGGGTGAGTTGGATGTGTTTATGTCGCCGCAGGACGATTCCTTCATTGTGGAAACGAACGAGACAACGGGCTACCATGAGATATTCCTCGACAATCGCTACAATTGGGGACCCAAGCAGCCGCGGGATCGTCCCCTGAATGTCGCCCTGCCCAGGCATGATAATGTCACCATCCAGAAACTCTTTACGCCCGAACGGCGTATCTATGGCGATAAGGATGGTGGCGGTGGCGGTGGCGGCGGCATGAACATCAACAGCTACTATGTGCCGCAGCTGCACGACTGCAAGAGCCATGGGGGACACAATTTCATAGTGAAGGATCAGCATGCCAAGGATCTGAGCACACATGTCACCCTCAACCATTGCAACACGCTGCTGCGGCTGTTTGGGCTGAGAAATCGATTGGTCTTGACACTGCCACAGCATGCACACAATCTGAGTGCCACGCGCTTCTTTATTGCGCTGCGTGCCAACTCCGGACCAGAGCCCAGCTATGGATCTGTGGTCTTTCGCCAGGATCAGCTGCACATCGATCTGTTTGTGTTCTTCTCGGTGTTCTTCTCCTGCTTTTTCCTCTTCCTGGCCGTCTGTGTGATTGTGTGGAAGGTGAAGCAGACGGCGGACCTGCGACGTGCCAGGCGACAGCATGTGGTGGAGATGCTGCATCTGGCCAAACGGCCCTTTGCGCAAATCTTCTTGGCCTCCAACAGCTTGGACACGGAGAGTCCGCGTGCGTCCACCTCCACGCGAGCCATGCGCCAGCGTGCACGTCAAGCCCTGCTCTTGCAGGAGCAGGCGTCCACGGGAGATCCCATACCGCCAAGGCTACACACACGCCACCGCCATGCCAGGGACATCATGATGGTGGCCATCGAGCCCACGTCCGATAATCAGGCTGCTGTTGGCACTGTCTTTATTAGCCTGCCCGGACGATCCAGAGCTCCGCTGAGCATTGCTCTTGGCTCCACACTGATCACCTATTCGCGGCAATATCCACTCAATGCGCGGCAATTTATGCGCGCCCAGAGGGCACACCATGTGGCCCACCATCCGGCATAGACTGCTGGATACAGCAATTTGGAATCTCTGTGGTTAGCATGAACAAAATAGTTGTATAAGCCTCGAACCTAGTGAAATATTTGCGTGCTTGTGTGCAGAAGGATATATGTACATATATCTGGATATAGCTTAGGAAAATACCTGTACATAACGTTTAGATAACGAAATGAATGACTAATCCCATGTACATACTCGGTACATACAATATGTACGATATAGAACAGCTGTGGGCAGTGCACATTGATGCTCGACACGCACAAGCGAATGCGGCTAAAGGGAATGAAGAATACAGAGAATAAATGCTGCAAAATGATGCTAGACTCAAGACGCACAAGGGAATGCTGCAAAATACCGTAGGATGTTCGAAAGTCTCGACACTGTCCACCCGCTGATATAAAAGATGCAAAACGCTGCTCACAAGTTGTGAAAAATGCACACAATAATCGAATATCTAAAATAATCTATTAAATAATATACTATATCTATATTAAATGATAAACATACAGGAAAACGGATAAATATTGGATAAACTAGGATATAGGAATACTCCAACAAAACTGGGTCTCGACTTTACAAAAAAAAAACAAAAAAAACTAAACTGGTAAATCGGTTAAAAAAAACCTTAAAAAAAATCATTTACAGAACAAAAAAATTGAACTATTTCGACTGATTTAAAAAGAACTGTATTCCATTTTGGTATTGTTTAAATTAAAACATAATCTCCATGTAACCCTATTGGCTGGGAAATAGCTCAAATATGTGTATGTGTATAATCGGTAATAATTGTGAATTTAAACCAGTGTTTAGAATAAGAACAAACATAAACGGAAAAGCAAAACGAAACGGAACGGAACGGAAATGTAATCCAATGGAAAGAACTCGCCAGGCAATAGGAATTTGATATTGTACCTATATGATATATATGTATATGTGTATGCATGTCAATTTGATAGCAAGAAAGCCATACGAAAAAAAAAAAAGGAAACAAAGAAATCAAGAAATACGTATTATATATACAAATATGATATAATATAATAGTTTACTGAATGTGTCATAGCATTAGGCAGTCGGAACGATGTGTTGTTAATGTCTTAAGCCCAGTGTTTTGTCTCGTGTCTGTCCCCCTGCTCGATGGAATATGATTTATGTATTTGGATTTACGCGTACCTAAGTATTTAAGTGCATATCTCCTTAATTGTATTTGTATTTTGTATAAAGTATTAGAATATTTCCTTCTCTGTTGGTGGGTTTTTAGCTAAGCAACTGCTCAATTAGTTTGTTAGCTCTCTCTCTCTCTGTCTATCTCTGTATCTCTATGGAAAATGCGCACTCGTCACGCAGCTATGTACCTACTATATTTTAAGAACAACCCACAACTATATTTATGTACCCCCAACACACACCAACACACACACACTTGTTATGTTTACACAAAACACACACACACACAGCACACAAATGCGAACAAATCATGGAATTTACAAAAGGATGAATAATCTTTTCAGCCGCCTAACTACATCACATCAAATCGCAGACGAACAAATTTCAAACTGAATTCTTCCTAACTATGAAATCTCAGTAACAGTAACCAGAAGGTTGTATCAAACAAAAACAAAAACACAAAAAACTCTCACTATATCACTTTAATTTAAGAAGAAACACAAACCCTTTCTCCCTCCATTAGGTATCCCTTTTTTTTTTGTTTTGTTTTAGCAAAATTTATAGAACTGATGTACATTTAGAAATTATACTACAAATGCGTCCCATTCTGCAATATATATGTATGTATATGTATGTAGTATGTATGTGTATTTATATTATTAATAATTATATGTTTTTTAATCATTATTTTTGAATTGTGTTTTGCCAATAAAGGAAATACATAAATATGATAAAAAATTCAATAAATAAACATTGTAGTTGTAAGAATTATTCTGAGGTTTGGAAACCATTAGACAAGACCTCACTTCGAGCTAATATATTGGTCAGCGCCACAGGCTATGATTTGATAGCTAATATAGGGCTGCGTGGGCTGCCATAGTGCTGGGCATTCATAGGATTCAGTGGGATGCACTATGATGTGTTGCAATGTTTTCGAATAGAAAATCCGGCTAGACCTTCTTTCCTCCTTGGGCAGGATCACCGACTTGCACAGGCTGTTGTATATCATATCGATCAGAGCCCACATCATCAGGTACTGCACTGTAATCCTTTACCAACTACAGGGGGACTACCACTCTACCACTACCACTCTAACATTACATTGGATAAACGAAGTAAAATATTTAACGTAACTAGATTTGAAAGAATTCTGGGTTTTTGCTATGAATAGGGTTTAGACTCTAGGGCTTAGGCGACAATAAAATTAAACCGAGCGACCATTTCATTTTCTGTTCCGTAAATGGTATTGGTATTTTATATTGTTGATATTAACAAATCACAGCAGAGACTACTGTAAAAGCCAATTCAAGTCAATTTTGGACAATACTTAATATTTTCCCTATGTATGTACATATGTACATATATTCTCTGATTTGGCAGGCATGATGCGAAAGAGTGTCCGCCAGTGGCCATGGCCAGATCAAGGAAAATACTTTCAAGCATTATTCGACGAATATCATCAGCACGAATACAGGCCGAGGCCAAAATGTATTTGGCAACTGTATTCGAAATGTGATATATGGCAAAAATATGAAAGGATGGTCCCGCACGCGACTGAACCAGCTGGCAGGCTACTCATTATTAGAATTGCTTCCAATTTAAACTCAATGATGCGTTCTGTAATATCTGGGATATCTGGCGGTGGGATATGATGTGTTCCAATGTTTTCTGCTCCATTTTACAGTATCTACCAGTAGTCGCATCTCTACAACTAGTTTCCATTTCGTAATTCATCTTAGTAATTGTGCAAACGAATAATTTTTATTGATTAAATAGTTACATATATTTGTATGTGATACGTTATAGTATTATATATTAAGATTGTAAGCGAGAGCCAATGCTTCGCTTTTGTATTTCTGTGTGTGTATGTGTGTGTGTGAGTGTTTAATATTATTAACGAATCGAATTTATTTAACTAGAGCTTGTGGTAGAAGGCAGGGAGGCGAGCAGGTCTGCAATGAAGCTGTCCGGCTGTTCGATCAGTGTGAGAAGTCCTGCAACGAGAGATGGTTAAGAGTGGTTAAGAAAGGCAACAGAGCAACAGAGGGGGGCAGAGGGGCAGGCAGGCAACCATCGCAAGACTTACCTGCCACATCGCAGAACTCGCCAAACGAAGTGCACGGCAATAGCTCCTCAGTCAGGATATGTAGGATGCCGTCTGTTGACTTGAGCATACCCTCGTCATTTTTGCGTATGTAATCGAATAGGGAAACCGGCCAGGCCTCCTCCTTGGGCATGGTCACCGACTTGAACAGGCTGTTGTAAATCATATCGATGAGGGCCCACATCATCAGGTACGGCTTGTACGCACTGTAGCCCTTCACCTGGCGATCGGATGGCGCGAGCAGCGCCTTGCACAGCACCGATGGTGAGATGTGACGGGCCTGGGCCACGGCCAGCATACGCTTGAGATGCGCCACCTTATGCTTGTTCCACAGCTCGCGACTGTGTAGGGTCAATCCAATGGTGGCCATGTACAGCGGCCCATCCACCTCATAGCCACACTCGAGCCACTTCTCGCTGGGCGGTGCGGTCAGATAGGTGACCAGGGTCTTGCTATCTCTGGCCGCGGAGCGCGACGACAGCAGCATGTAGATCGAGTAGAACAGGAGGTAGGGCACAAAGTGCATATTGGACTGGGGGCCACCGCCGCCGGCATCATCGTGGAAGCTACGCTCCCAGGCGAAGCGCACCAGCAGCAGCTTCAGATCGTGTATGCTGCTCGTATAGGAGATGTCGCAGCGCTGTGTGCTCTCCTGCATGTAGCTGCTGTGACGTGTCATCGAAGCGGAGAAGGCCGTTTCCAGCACGGAGGGACCCCAGAGCGGCAGCAGGCCATTGCAACGGGTGTTGGCATTCTGCAGACTAGCGCGCTCCCATTCATCGCGGCCGCGCGTCAAACGTATCGCTGAGGTGTGACAGTCCACATGGACCACATTGAAATGTGTTACTGTCGTATAGCCAATGGTCTTGCGTGACTTTAGCTCAAACTCCTCCACATTGCAGCGCTTGGTGAACGTGTAGATGCCCAGCACCTTTTCGGGCTGGCAGGCATAGCCCTCGCGGCAGATGAAGCACGTCAGCCCCGTCTCGTCGCGCAGCTTCTCGATCTTTTGCAGTATCGAGCCCTTGGCCGTCACCTGACCCTTCTCATTTGTGCGCATGCCCAAGGCATCCAGTTGCTTCTCGCGCGTGGCCATGGCCAGACGTTTCTTTTCGGCGCGCGTAAAGTCGCGCACTTGCTGGACTCTCGCAGCGGTGGCGGCATCGGTTGACAAGGCCTCCAGCAGATTCTCGGCCAGACTGCCGACATGCTCATCGCTGGACACTTGCTCCAGGCGATGTATAATCGGTATAATGTCCTTGCTGATGGCCACCTGTGTGGCCTCATGATGATTGGAGAGACCGGTGAGGAAGCGCAGTATATACTTGAGACTAGGGCGCGAAATGAACTCCTTCAGCTCGTCGGAGTCGGTGCGCAGCAGTGTGGGCTTCACACACGGCGCATGCTCGGTGATGTAGGCCAGCGAGCGTTCGACAATGCCCAGACTGACTATATAATCCTTGAGGGTGCCGCCAATGCAATTGTGTTCGATCTGATTGGTTAGGACACAGAAGAGCTCCAGCTTGAACTCCTCCTCGGGTGTGCGTTCGTTGTCGAAGCGTTTGAAGTTCAGTGTGTCCTGGAAATTAATAGGACGATTAAGAAAGGGTTCGCCACAAAGATCTCTCACTCTCTGCCTGAAACTTACCTTGAAATGCTCACAGAGCAGGGCCATCTTCACCTCATTGCCATAGACCAGCGCAGCCAGCACACGTATCAGATGACGCAGCACCGAAGGATTGTTGCGTACATTCGGGCAATCCGTGCAGGAGATCAGTGCCGACACATACTCGGGCCCGCCGAAAGTCAGGGAGAACTGCAGGAACGAGTCGAGCGTATCACTGGCCGCCTTTGAGAGCAACGTTTCCATAATCTCCAGCAGCTGCTCGGTGACTGCCGACTGTATGGAATCATTCTCCGATTGCAGACACATCTGCAGCACCTTGAGCAGCGTGTTAATGGCCCCAATCTCGGGCTGGCACAGCACCTCCTGGCAGCGGCGCACTTTCACGCAGATCAGGAAGAGTTTGAGCAGCACCTGGATGAGCTCGCGCTGTCGTGAGATTCGCTGCAGACTGCCAATCCGGTCCAGCATCACACGCAGCCCATTGCAGTCGGCTAGAACATTGGCCATGCGGTACAGCTGCTCCGTGTCGACGGCCTCCTGACTCTTGTTGTTCAGCGTCTCGACAAACTCCTCGGTGGCATCGCCCAGCAGTCCGCGCATGCGATAGACAATACGCATGGCATCGCGGTCCCCGCCCTCGGCCAGCCACACCTTCTTGTACACATCCTTGACGGGCAGATCCAGGCTAATGATTTTGTTGTTCACCAGCAGCTCCATGCCGTTGTCATCCTCCAGCAGGGCAATCAGTTCACAGTCCGTGCAGATTTTGTTCTTCACATCGCGCATGAGGGGACCCAGTCCCATTTCGCCGGAGGGATAGGGATTGCCGAGCATGCGACCCTGCAGGAAGTCCTCCTGCTGCGGATCCTTCTCCAGCGTCATGTAGAACTCGCTCTCGTCGTGCTCCTCCGGGTGGATGATGGAGTACAGACGCTCAAAGATAAACACCGGCGTCTTGATGTCATTCATGCGCGTCTTGTCCACCGTATCGATGAGTATCTCCATAAAGGCACGCGTCTCCTCCTCGGTGCCGCTGGTCATCTCCTCCAGCATTTCGAGCATCTTCTCCTGCGCCTCATCAATGTGTCGCGTGCGCTGAACCACCAGGCTCCTCAGGGCCAAGTAGCTCTCGAGCACGGGGCCCAGCAGGCGGGTCTTGTAGGTTCGCCGTATGTTGGGGCACTCGAGGAAGAGCCACAGCAGCTCCACATAGCGGCGCAGGGCATAGCCCAGCGTAAGGTCCGAGGACAGCGAATGCTCCTCCATGCAGTGCACTTTGGCTATCTCCGTGGCCAGCAGTGCGGAGATCTTGCACAGCACTCCCCGCAGCACCAGATACTGCAGCCAGGGCGACTCTGTGGCAATGCTCCGATAGAGCGCCAAATACTCGGTGCTCGCCTCACCCGCCTCCCCCACATGATACAGGAAGGAGGTGAGCAAATTGAGAGCCTGCTGCTTGCGCTCGTGCGTGCGTGCCAGTCCGCCCAGCAGCGTGCACGCCAATTGGCGGCCAAAGCGTGAGTTTTCGTTGAAGAGCAGCGGCTGTATCCACTCGGCATTGAATACCAGCGGCTTGGTCAGCCGCTGCTTGTCCAGCACATTCGTGCGCCAGCGTTTGGCATACTTCTCGCTCAGATAGGCCGCCCTTGTGGCTTCCTTGATCTTTGGTGGTGTCTCAGTGCCGCCCGCCGATTGCTGCTGCTGCTGCTGCTGTTTGCTGCTCTTTGGCTTGGCGGCAGTGGTTGTGGCTGCTGCCTCCTGATGGTGTTGGCTGATGGGCATGCGACTGCTCCAGGCCAAGTACTCGTGATTGCGATCCGAGTTAAGCCACGCCCGATAGTCGATGGTGTTGCCTTCGGGCAGTTTAATGCTGCACAAATCAATGACAGACACTGTCTTGCCACTGCCACCGCTGCCGCTGCCGCTGCCGCTGCCAGCGATCGTGGGATTGATCAGACTCTGCAGAATGCGCAGGCAGGGATGCAGCACAGAGGCCACAGGTCCACGCGGCAATCTAACAGGCGGAAAAAATACTCGGAGTTAGCTTCAAGCACAGCTTTAGGGGTTTTTTTTGTTCTGTTTTCCACTCACTTGCAATTGCTGATAAACAGCTCAAAGATCACCTTCAGCTTGTATTCCCAGCAGAAATCATCCTGTCCGAGGAGCACCTCCAGCAGCGTCATCTCCTGATGCACGGCTGCCTCCAGACTAATCAGGGGAATGGCGCCCATCAGGGCGCTCTTCACACGGGACGTGACCAGCTGCAGCAAGTGCATGCACGCCTCGGCATTGTCCTTGGTCACCACCACCAGCAGATTGCGAACCTCGTTCTGGATCTGCGGTGTGCCACGCCGTAGATTGTGTTCCGCCAGTTCGCTGACCAGTCCCTGGCTATAGAGACCCATGCGACAGTCATAATTGTAGGCCATGGCCCGCAGCAGGGTGAGGCACTGCTCGGTGGAGGCCAAGGCGCAGCCATAGCAGCGGTTTGTTGTTGGATTCTCGGCCCCCATGACCAGCGACAGATTGCTGGGCGGCAGATCCTGTTGCTGGCGATCGTAGGCCACCAGTTCGCTACAGGGGAAGGGAAATGGAATAGAATCGCAAGGAATTGATGTATTAATGTATGCATTTAAGCCTACTCAGATCCGCAAATCTACTCGCAAACAAAGTCAGGTTTAATATTCGTATGAAACCGATAAGAAATTCGCGCACAAACTGTTTGTGTTTGTACGGAAAAGTATTATTAACCAGCCGAAGCCTTGCGAGGAGCAGTATTTATCATGAGAAAATAATACAACGCAGATGGGGGAAACATGGAGCGAGCGAGCGCTCGGGCACTTGCACTCGGTCTATGCGCATTCCCCCTAACAATCTAATTCAATACCTAATTCAATCTTTTTCTCTCATCCAGCCGCCAGGGTAGGGAGAGAGAGAGAGATACACTGGCTAATAATGATCCAATCTAATCAAAACTCTGTACTCTAATATATCATAGATAGATCTGCGTTTTCTGCAATTAGCCAATCCTTTGGTGGGTAGGGAAACAAACTTGCGTCAGGTTGATGGATACCAGGAGTCTCCGCTTAAAATTGTGCGGCTCCAGCTTATATAGTATCCAAGAACTACGCGTTAAACAAGAGGCACAGACAGACATGTCTTTATGGAATCGGCTGTGGCTGCTAATCGAGAACGACATCCTTATGGCTATTAGATCGACTCGAATCGAACCATCCATGCGGGTAGGCGTTAGGGGGGTATACACTTTGTGTATATGTGTATATCTTCTGTGAACTCACCTGCGACATGCCTTCACTTTCTGGACAATCTTGCTTAGTTCCTCGAAGCTGGCGCGTGACTCCACGCAGTATTTCTGTGCCAGCAGCTGGATGATCTTGTTCACCTGCGACGTGCTATGCACACTGGCCATGTTGTCCTCGACCAGACGATCGTTGATCCGATGTTCGGCCACCTTTTGGATGAGTAGCTCGAGCAGCTGTTTGTTGGCCAGCAGCTGATGGTAGATGCGATCTGCACGCTCCAATGAGCTGTGTATCATCGACACAGTCTTGGCCCGATCCTCGGCGGACTCAATGGGATCGACGGCACAGCAGACGCGTGCATACATGCTGAAATCGAATTTGGCATACTTGCAGAAGCCACACGAGTGGCACAGGAACGGATCCTTTTCGTCATAGTTGATCGCTCGACACTTGTGGCACTGGAACACATTCTCGCCACAGTTGCCGCACACTCCCGGATACGCGGGCACAGCGGCACTGCAGCGCGGACACTGCAGATTCTCGCTCGAACCGCTGACAGTCTCAAAGAAGTCGGCGAACTCAATCATCAGATTGCAGGCCGTAATGGGCAATGGGAAATCGATCTTCAGCTCTGTCTGGCCCGATTGCAGCGAAACGGAGCGCGCCTTGTGCCACAGCGCTGGCCGATTCTTCAGCTCAACGACCGCCTGGACACTGCGATTGTTGTAGTACACATTGATGGTGCGCACCATCTTGGTGCGCTTCAGATCCGCAATCCGTACGATCAGCTTCGAGATGGTGTGGCACTGCACCAGCTTGTAGATCATCGTTGTGGTGGTATATTTCGAATCGGACTTGACCGACGGCAGCTTGATGTTGGCCATCGGCACCTCTGGGTTGTTGCACACCAAACAGGGCTCCGATTCCAGATAGTAACCGTTCATCTGCAGTATCGACTCCAAGGTGGTGTAGATGGGCGCATTCGGGTGCTTGCACAGCAGCTCGTTCTGTGTCCGCAGCACTTCCACCGCACGCGACACAAACTCTGGCAGGCGGTCGGTTATGCTGCGCGTTGTCAGCGTCAGGTAGCCCAATAGATCCACAAATTGTGCTGTCCGGCGGCCGTACGTTGGCACCAGGGGCCACAAATTCCAAAAGATGGTCAACAGCTTCTCACGCTGCCGCTCATTGGCATGCTCAAAGAGGCCCGTCATAAAGGAGTGCGCCTGCCAGCGCAGCTGACTTATGTTATTCTCCAGCAGAAAGATCCGCACGAATCGAATGATCAATGCATCGCAGGCATAGCGGAATATCTGATGGACAAATGTGCCGCACTGTGCTGGATCGAATTTCGAGTAGTAGGCATCCGTATCCTCGCTTTTCTCGCGCTCACTGCGCAGCTTCGAGGACGTTGACACAGCGGCTGCTGGCGGTGGCTGCTGTGGTTGCTGCTTGTTGGCTGGCATATTACAAACGGCCGCCTGCAGCAGCTGTATAATTATAGGCGACACACCGTCATCCAGTTGGTAGCAGGCAATCTCCATGAGCATGGCCAAGGCATCCTCATGCACCACACAGAACTTCTGCCAGTTGCCAGTGCGCATTTGACTGATCTCCTGGCAGGTGCGCAGATGCTCTGTCAGATCCACCAACGAGTCATAGCTGAGCAGCGGAGGATTGGCATTGTAGGGGGCACCAGTCTGTGGGGGAGAAAGTAGAAGTTGAAGTGGGAGTGGAAGTGCCTGTGGGAGTGTTCTCTCTCTCTCTCTTTTCTACTTACCTTGCTGCTCACAATGTTGCACACTCGCTTCACCACACGGAAATGGGCATCCAACGAGTGTCCATCCCGATACATGCGGAACTTCTCCTTGCTGCCACAGATGTACATCAGCAGCTTGCGCACTTGCCGCCGCAGCAGTGTATTCAGATTGAGCATCATATACTCGCACAGCGTAAAGGTCATCGCCTCACAGAAGCTGCTGTCATAATTGTCCGGATGGGCGCTGCTTAGCCGCAGAATCTGATACGGCAGCCGCACAATAATCTCCGTCAGCAGGCCATCGTACGACTCAAAGATGTCGGGATAATTCTTCAGATAATTCTGCGGTATCAGTATGGATATATCGGGCTTGGGGCCATGTTTAATGGGCTTCAGTAGCTGCACTCCCGGGCCAGAGGTGGCGCCGCCGCCGCTGCTGGCAGTTGGTGCTGCCGCTTGCCCGGCCGCATAGGGATCCCCCAGCACCGTTTTCCAGTGCACGAGCAGCGTATTGAGTGCCTCTAGGGCATAGATAAAGGCACCGCTCTTGCTCAGCACATTCGCTGTGGTGCTGGCCACAAAGGAGCTGTTATCCTTGAACTGATGCGGTGGCGAGGTGGTGCCCGTCTGCTTGGACTTGGTCTTGCCCATCATCACGCCAAAGAGTGCGAGCAAAGCGAGTCGAACTTCATTCAAGGGGCATTTCGTCTCCATCTGCAAAACAGAATTAAGCGGCTCACAAAAGGGCCCCTTTCGTGTGTGTGCTGCGCTCCATTTCTTACCCTTGAGGCTGCTCCACGTTTGCCTATTTCCACATACTCCACCAGCGCCTGCAGCAGCTCCTGCAGCACCTGCTGATCGCGCTCATTGTTGCCATTGAGGTCTGTGGTCAGCATGTGTATCACCTGGATGAGGGGTATGGCCTGCAGCCCATTGCACAGATCGAATGTGTCCAAATGCTGGATAATGCTCTCCAGCACGGCAATCCTGCAGGAGGGACTAGATGCATTACAGACTCATTCCCTTCCCTTGGGTCGCCCACTCACCTGAGGTCATGCAGTTTTTGCAGCTTTTCATCTTCGTTGATTTCATTGTTGTCTTCGGTGCTGCTCATGGCACTCAGGCCACTGCCACCTGGCACTCCACCCGAGGCGGAGCCACTGGGTCCTGGCTGCTGCTGCTGCTGTTCCTCGCCCCCCTGCTCGCCATCCTTGACGGAACTGCAGCTCTGTCGCGGTGGCGTTGTGTTCGGATGATCGCCAAAGTTGCTGCTGCGCGCCGATGTGCCGCCAATGCTCTCCACACCACTGCCACCGCTCTCGGAGCCGCCACTGCCCGCCGGCTCGGCGGGTGAGGTGCGCAGCGTGGAGCCATCGGTGGCCACATTGGAGCCCTCGTCATCGGATCCGCCCGCCGAGACAGAGACCGAGACACTGGCCGCTGCCGCATTGGCTGCCGCCTGTCTGATGCCCTGGATATTGGCCAATCCCTGCTGCAGCGACTGCAGCGCATTGGCATCGGCGCCGCCATGCTGTTGCAGACTCAATGCGATGGCTATGTCCATGATGGCCTCGTCGTCGGCATCCTCGGGCAGACCCAGCAGCCGGGGGAAGCCGCCGCCCATGAAGGCCTCCAGATTGAGCAGCTGCTGATTCGCATGCTGTCCTGCCACGCCTCCCTCCACTGCCTCGAGCAGCGCGGCTGCTGCATTGTCTGGATCCTGACCGGCAGCCGCTGCGCCTGCTGCTGCTGCCTCCTCGATGATGTCATTGGCCGCCGATGCAGCCACCGCCTGCAGGGCCTGCATTTGAGGCGTGGGCGTGGAGCAGGTCGGGGGCGTTATGACGGCTACGGCCGCTGCCTTGCGTCGCTTCATGCGCGGACTCAGGAGGAGTATCAGTGCCTCCTTGGCACTGTGACTGATGACGGTGGCATCGTGCTTCAGCAGATCAATAAAGTACTGGGTCATGCGACCCACCTGGCCGGGATCCGCAAGCGCAAAGCCATACATAATCTCCACCAGGCAATGGACAATCGTTTCCGGCTGGCACAGCCCGCGTCGCACAATATTTGTGGGCTCATCTAGGTCCGGGGTGATCTTGTGCAGCTCCAGGACAATGCCCATCAAAGCTGGCACCAAATCGTAGCTGTTCTCCTGGCAGATCTTGGCCAGCGACTGCGGCCGAGAGTTGGCCACGCCGCGCACCAGCAATATCAGTCGATAGAATGCCTCCGGATCGATTTCTTGCAGGGATTCCAGCTGTTGCAGCTTCGGTTGCATGGCCTGCAGTTCGCCGTGTACGAAATGCAGGATGACACCATCCTTGAAGCTGTGATAGCTCGCCCGACTGCCATAGAGCGTGGCCAGCACATAGCGGGCTTGGGTCTGCACGGGATTCGGGGTGGGCAGCAGCAGCAGTCCACTGGCCGTCTTCACGACCTTCGAGCGCAGCGGGGCAGCCACAGCGCTGCCGCCGAGCAGATGCAGGGCACAGTCGAGCACCTCCAGCAGATGATTGACCATGCGATCCAGCTGAGTGATGCAATTGAAGCCCTCGCCAAAGTTGGCCGCGGCACTCTGTTGGGTGGCCGTCACCGGTGTGGGACCGGAGCTGGGTGCCTGCACATCGTCGCTGTCGTCGGGCCAGCCGACCAGTTCCTTGGACTTGCCATAGACCTCGATGGAGTCGAGCACAGTGACATGTTCGGGGTCCTGCGACTTGGCAAACATCACCTTGAGCATTTTGTCCGATTGGAACATCTCCTCACGCGTCAGGGGTATATCAAACCAGCGCGACTTCCTCACCGTTGTGGGTATGGTGCGTCCCAGTATGGTCACCGATACGGGTGCCCTTTGTATGTCCTGTGTGCCAAGCATCACACGGAATCCAACCATCACCACATTTGGATCGTTGTTGATCACCTCCAGCGTGAATCCGGTGGGCTTGGTGCTCGCCACAAACGTCCCTGTGGTAAAGAGACGCGTCTTCAGCTTCTGTTTGTTGTAGATCTGCAGCAGGTCATTGCCCCCAAACTCCACATCGGCCAGCAGATTGCAATGCTCAAAGAAATCAATCGGGAAAATGGGCTGCCCGCCGGCTGTCAGTTGTTTCTGCTGCTGCTGATGGCTGCCTCCCATCGACTTGCTGCGATGGTGCGGCAGCAGCTTGCCAGCCGCTGCAGAGCTGCCTGCCTTGCTTTTGCTGGTCTGTGTGCTGCTGCTGCTGCTGCTTGTGCCACTGTTGTTGCTCTTTGCCAGCAGCGTGGAGCTGTACAGCTGATTGCCAAATGGCTGTACCTGCGGCGACAGCCAGAAGCTCGTGTGCTCTGGCTGTGCCGAGAAGATTCTCAGGCTGCCGTCCTCGCAGAGCAGCAGCAGGGTGGTCTTCTCGGTGCCCGCCACACTATGCCGTATGCCAACCACATCCATTATCCTCGATTTCGCGGACTGTGCCTTGATCTCCTGCATGTAGATGCGTTCGGGTGTGATCATCAGTATCACCGGATTATTGGACGTATTCATGCTGGCATATATCAGTCCCGGATGTCCTGCCACCTCTGTCCAACCCACCAGCGATTGTAGCGGCACCTTCGAGGCCGATGATGATTTGCTGGCCACCGTGGCCGCTGTGTTGTTAATGTCCAAGTGATAAATGCCCTTGACACCCTCATTTACGTTCGTCAGCGGCGAACAGAAGCTCCGGCCAGAGGTGTAGCTGTAGAAGAGCAGCTGCAGCGTGTGCGAGTAGTAAATGGACACACCGCCGCCGCACACCTGTCCATTGATATCCTTGATATGCTGATGGCTCAACTCCAGTGTATTTGTCACATAAAAGTCCCCATGCACGGCCAGACTCTGCTGGTCCAGCTGCTGCGTGTAGATGTAGCCAGAGCTCGTGAAGCTCAGCATAAAGTAGCTGCCAATGCCATCCTGCTGATGGTACATAAAGGTGCAGTCCTTGATCTTGCCCACAGCCACTAGATAGTAGTATTTCGGGCTGATTGTATCCACCGACAGATCATAGATCTTCACATAATCCGTGGTGACAATGGCCAGGAGTGTCTGTGATCCAGGCAGCCACATGGCCTTCTTCAGGAAGTTGCCATTCTCGAGCTGCGGTGTGATGACAATGTGCTCGTTGGTGCTGCCGCTGCTCGAAAAGGTCAGCACGTGGCACTCCTTGAGCCCACAGACAGCCAGGCAATCCTCGTTGCAGGGATTGGCGGCCAGCGAGAGCACAGTGCAGGCAATGGGCGCCGAACTGAGCTGCGTCAGAGTCAATTTCCGCTTGGAGGCATCGGCCTGCTTGAGCAGCGCCGATAGCTGCAATATGGTGACCTTTCCCTTCTCATGCGACACGGCCAGCTGCTGGCGGCGTCCATGCGGCGACGAGAGGCAACAGAAGGCCACGCGACGTATCGTGCCAGAGGTGAGCAAGTGCTTGATGGTCTGCCCCTGATCGCCCGAGTAGTTCATGCGCACATTCTCAAAGGCACCCTCCTGGGAGCCCAGTGTGGCAAACATCAGCTGGTCCGTGATCTGGAAACTCTGCTCCAGCTGATGCAGTCGCTCCAGCGCGGCAGTGGCACGCCTGTGGCAGCCCACAATCGAATAGAGCGTGCAGTTCTCCCTTATGGATGGCAGCAGCACATCGAAGTACTCCAGTATGCAGCGTACCACGAGCATCCATTGCTCCTGATGCTGCAATGTCTCACGGTAGGGTTCGAGCAGTTTGCCCAGCAGCAGGATTCGCTCACTGCTGATGGAATCCTTGCGGGCAGGCGCTCCTCCCAGCTGCTGCTGCTGGCCAGCTGCTCCTGTTGCTGCATTGTTGCCTCTCTTCTTGCCCGCCAGCAGACTCATGTGCGAGGGCAAATAGCTGCAGCTGCTGCTGCCGCCCGGACCCACCGTGTCACGCGCCTCTCCGGAGCCCAAGCGGCGACTCAACGCCTGACAGGAGCCATCCTCTTTGGCACCGCAATCGCAGAAGAAGTTGCCGTACTTGGCATAGCTGACATCGTGCCCCTTGTGGCACACGCGCACACACACGGAGCACACACCCACCGTATTGATCATGTTGCAGGTGTGACAGTGATACCAGTGCTGGTTCATGAACTCCTTTTGGGTCTGCGAGAATGTGCACAGCTTGTTGTTCAGCGTATCCTCATCGGAGTCATCCAGCAGCGAGTCCTGCTCTTCCTCGCCCAACTCATCGTACAGATCGTCAATGTCCGTTTGCAGTTCATCATCCCACGGGGGCATATGCAGGCGACTGCCACGATACCCAATGCTCTGCAGGAGTTCGCTGAGATATCTCAGCAGAGCGCTCACATTCTCCGCATGCCGCAGATGCTTGTCGGGCAGCTGCAACTTGGCTAGTTCCAGCCACAGCAGCGTCGTATTGAACAGCGCCACGTGTCCGCGTGCGGGAGAGGCATCTGCCAGGGTGATCATTATCTGCAGCACATCCGCAAAGTCGCAGCCATCGTGGGGTGGACTGATCAAAGTCTGTCCGAGCTGCAGCAGCGCCTGGAACAGAGGCGCCGCTATGGGTCCCGCCTTGCTCTGATCGCGTACGAGATATTTGACGATGGACAGCAGCAGGCCTCCATTGCGTTCGCTTTGACGTTGCTCGCCGCCTTCGCTGTGATCGCAGGCTTGCGAGGATTCCTCTGAGGGATTCGGCTGCGCTGCCTGCCACAGGCTCAGAATTTGTGACGTGTTGGGCGCAGCTCCTCCTGCTGCTGTTGCTGCTGCCCCACAATCATAGTCTATGTCCATGGCATCCAGCTGATCGGAGATGCTCGGCATAGCCGACACAGTGGCCATGTTGGTGGGTGTCTGGGCATTGCTGCTGGAACTGCTCGATGGCTGCATGATGCTCGTGAGCAGTCTGCAGGTGGGATCCATTGTCTCGCTGCTGCTGACATCTCCGGCCGTCACATTTGGGCCATAGATAATGTGGGCCAGCCACAGCTTTAAGCGTGCCACATCCACGCTGGATAAATCGCCAAAACAATCCACCAAATCCTCGTGCTGGAACTGCGAGTCCGCCCGCGTCGATTGCTCAAACAAACGTTCCACAAACTGCAACATTTTGCGTGCATAACTCAAGGGTAGAGTGGTGCCAGTAAAGGACAGCAGCAACGTGGTCAGACTGCCCGTGCGCTGATCATGGAAGAACTGCCGCATGGCCTGCACAGCTGTGGGTTTCTCCAGCATCTTGATGAATGTCTTGAGCACCGCAAACAGCATCGATTCATTGAACAAAGCTCGCTCCTGATCCAGGGGAGGGCCTCTGGCCGCTGGCTGTCGCAGCTCTGCGGCAAATTCAATCAGCATGCGATAGCAGTAGCCAATCATGTGCTCATACAGCAACAGCTTCTGCGCCTCCAGGGTCAAACCACTCAGGATCTCCCTCAGACACTGTTCGCTCTGGCCCTGCAGATAGTCGGTGCGCATGTCCAGCATGGAGGCAATTAGCAGCGGCTTCAGTTGCGTATCCATTTCGCAGCAATTCGAGGCGTAGGGCAGCAGCAACTCCATCAAATGGAGTATCGTCTTCAGGCAATGTTTGAGCGTATGCAGCGTGGAATATGCCACACCGCCGCTGCCTCGGGTCAGCTCTGTAATGTGTGCATCAATCACATTGAGGGTGTACGGCTCCACGGGATGCTGTTTCCCATCAAAGGCCGCATCATTGACCATCAAACACTTGGGCCATTCGTTCGCAATCAGCTGCTTATCCTCATTGGGCAGCAGCTTGAGGAATGCCGCATGCAGCTCCAGCATTATGGCTGGCTTATCGCTCACAATGGGCACTATCAGATTGAGGACATGCTCCGGTGTGGTGCTCGACAGCTGCTTGAGCATTTGCTCACGCACAATGTCCGATAGGTAGCGATACGAGTCCATTAGCTTGATCAGCAGCTCGTTGATCATTTGATTGCGTTCCACTGTTTCCGTGGGCAGGCCCGGCTCATCCTCCTGCTTGGATTGCTCTTCATCGATCGACTCATTGGAGGAGTAGACCTCGGGATGATCGTGATCAGCGGCATTGCCGCTGCCGACGCCGCCACCACTACTGGATGCCGCACTGTTGCATGATCGCTCGCCAGCGCTGCTATCCTCACAGTCCTTGCGCAGCAGCTTGAAGCCCTCCTTTTCTGCCCAGGCCACGGCCTGCATGTGGGCCACCAAAGCATCAAACAGAATGAGTTCCGAGAGGCGTGGAATACCTAGTAAAAAGAAAAAGGGAAATAATAATAACAGATTCCTTTGCATGGTTCAAAATGGAGTGCCCGAATACAAATTATATGTCTTGAGCATGACGATGGAATATTTTCTTTGAGACTGCGACCGAGAATCGGGTCCAAGAATCCCGATTTCGAATTCCAGCATTCATTAGCTCTGTCATGCCCAAGCAATGTATTTTGTTTTCGCTTACTTCCCACGCGAAGACTGAGTATTTTCTTATCGGATTCCTCGGACCGACTTGGCTGCCCTGAGCATTAACGAACCGACACAGCCAAGTGGGAAGTGCAGCCACGGTCAGAGGCGAAGTAATACGAAAATTTAAATGGAATTTATTCCCCATCTTGGTATTTTATACTCTTGGCTTTTCGCCATTAATTCCCATCCACACTTACCCTTATTGCTCATCTGCTGATTGAAGGCCTCTACGCCGAGTATGGTCTGCTTCAAGTTGTATCGTATATCGGCCGTGGTATCGCCCACTTGAGTGTACAGCGACTCCGCGAATTGGGTGTACATGCCCTGCTTTATCAGGCTGTTGACAATCAAATAATGGGATGTGCCCAGCGGCAGGCGGGTGCTCCACACCAGCGAATGCAGATTGGGTGCCCGCTCAATGCGCAGCGCCTCCACGTGTGAGGTGGAGGGGGGCAGGCCCAGCAGCAGCTTCCAGGTGTTCGTAAAGCAATACTGCATGGCACACAGATTGTGCATGCTGCTGCTCTCGCCGCTGTCCTTTTTGGCAAACGAGGACATGTCAGCGATGTTCAGGATATCCACAAGGGCATCCACCAGAAGCGGATACTTGAGTTTGTCCGGTGTGCAGAGTATAAAATTCCAGGCGAGGCCATCCAATTTGAAATCGCTCACCCAATAGGCTTTCTCGGGCTCCTTCAGCACCAGACTGTAAAATGTGGGACGAATATCTGCAAAGGGGACAGTCAATTGATATTAAAATTGATATTACAATCATATTCGACTAGCGTTGGATCACTTACTTGATCCATATTCCCCCGAAGACTTGCGGAACTTCTCCTCAATATCCTGACGGCAATAGGAGTTCAGTTTGGTGCGACTATTAATCAAATCGGAGACCTTTTGCGTCTCGGGCATGCTGCTCACGCTAAACAATATCCAGCGCACCTGATCCAACAGTTCGGGCGGTGCATGGTACAGATGCTTCATCAGATACTCCAGAAATACGAGCAAACGCGACAGCAGCATCATTTGGCTATTCCGGACAATGCGCTCCGCACTGATGCCACGACAGACCTCGGCACAGCGTATCACCCCACCAGCAGTGAGCAGTAGGATGGATTTCTTTTGCATGAGATTGAGCGAATGGAACAGAAAGAGCAGCAGTTGGGCATGCTCAATGTTGATATCCTCGTAGTCCGAGTCACCGCCAGAGGTGGACGAGCACACGCCATCAACCAGGGTGTTGATTAGGCGATGCCACACTGAGAGACAGGCGGCCTCCTTCTCCTGTATGGGCTTCAGCAGCAGGATCTGCACGAGCACCGACAATGTGCTGGGATAGACCTGCAGTGGCCATGTATTCGTGTCCGTGGACCATGGTGAGATGGCCAAATGTTGCAACAGATTCGATTGCAGCTGCTCGGACAGCAGGCCCGTCGAGATCAGATTGTGTATGTAACGGCCAGCTGCGCCCGAGAAACGTATCATCGATGCCTGCCACTTGGCCGAGCAGCCAGATGCTCCTCCCGCACCTCCTGCCGCCACAGCCACGCCTGCTGTACTTGGTGGCGACTGCTGTTCGCTGTCGCTGCGCATCACATCGCGATCAAAGTCCTTGATTATGTTGGCCATCAGCAGCATCTGCTGATCGCTGACACCCGCCTTCACATAGCGCTGCATGTAGGCATGACGATTGGCCAGAAATTGATCCAGAAAGCAAAAGATATCCGCCGATAGCTCCAGATACTCGTGTGGCTCATCTAGCTTGGGCACCAGTGCGCTCTTCTGCTCCCCGCTGCGCTCCTGCGACGAGGTATTTGCATTGTCGTCGTGCGTTTCGGGCGAGAGGGTCTCCTTGAACCAATGCCCCAGATAACTTTCGCTGTCATCCTCCTCCGAGTTGTCCGAATAGGACATGGACTCATTCAGGCAGGTCGTTGAGTCCGAGTAGCTAATGGGATCGCATTCGGTGCGGTCTTTGGTGGAGGCACGCTTCAGTGTGCATGCCTTGCGGTAGGCCACGGTGGCCAGAAATGTGAACAGCTGATGCAACGTGGCCGTGTTCAGGACACGCACAATCCGCTCCAGCGATGTGTAGTTCTGCAGGATATCAAATTGCGCTGGCTCTGGCAGCGTTTCGGGATCGGTGACACTGCTCTGTCCGCAGGCGGATTCAATCTTTAGATCCTCAATCAGTTCCGACAGCAGCTTAATGCTGTGATTGGCTATGGCAGCATTCAGCTCCCCAAAGCCCTGTTGCACCTTGAATAGATTGACTCTGGCTATGGGGGTGCTGGGCGCCGTTACAGACTCTGCTTTGGCTGCCACTTTTGTGGCGGCGGCTGCGGCTGCTGCTGCTGCTGCTTTAGCTGCCGTCTCTGCCGAGGCACTGCCACTGGCGCCCATTGCTCCCTGGATGCCGCTGATGAGCAGCCAGCTGCCATAGCACAAATGATTCTGATAGATATACATTCGAGCAGAAGATTTGAACATCTCGCCAATGCTGGAATAGATTTCCAGAGCTTTGTTTACAATGCCGCTGGCCTGTTCTTCAAATTCGTCGTGATCCTTGCTGTTCTGCACGCTGGACAAGCCACCGCCGCTGCCCTGACTGGTTGATGCTGCTGCAGCAGCAGCCGTCTGCTGTTGTTGCTGCTGCTGCTTCTGTGAACTGCTTGCCTGTCCCATGCTCAGGACACTGGTGGCTATCGAGGTGAGCACCGCATTGTACAGTGCCGAGATGCCGCACATGGATAGCTTTTCGATGCGGCTCGGTGTCAGTGGCTGCATGACAATCAAGGCATACGCCTGGCCCACAATCGACAGATCTGTGAGCATGTGATTCATCGATGATTTCACTGTGGTGGCCTCCGCCTGTGTGAGTGGCAGGTAGAGGGGTTTCCCAGCATTTATCGTCTCCATGTACTTCATGCGATAGCGACTGAGTATGGGCAGACCCACGCAGATATCCAGCAGCGTATCGACGCCATTTGCCTCCTGGAATACCTCCACATTGGCAGCCAAAAGTTGCTCCTACCAAAGGAAAGACAATTTAAATGGAAATTAATTTAAGTTAAGAAATTTCGTACAGTGCAATCGGTGATCTCCTCGCTGAGGGGCACCCAGGTCATCTTGCCCGGCTCAAGTGGCGCCAACAGCTGCTGTAGGATCACCGATGAGAGGTCCGAGCGCGAGCGTTTGATCTCTAATTTGGGTGAATCTTTGTCGTTGCTACTGCCAGCAGCAGTAGCTCCTGTGGTGCTACCTCCAATTGACATAATAGTCTTATTGGATGATTCCGGATGTTTCGAGCTCTTCACCACCCCGGCCACGGCACTGTAATCGAATTGTGCAAGAGCCGTAGAAGCATTCTCCCTGCCCTCGCAGAGCATTTTGAGGGCGGCCAATAGCCATTTCGATTCATAGACCGTCACTTTGGGCAGACGGAAGAGTATGAAGCGTATGAGCACGGCCGTGGCATCGTGAAGCTGGCAGATCTGTGTCTGGCAAACTAAAAGAAAATACACAAATATTTTAGATATATTTTCAAATGTATGTTTATAAAGTAAGCTTAAGACGACTTGATACCCTTTTAAAGCAAGAGTCTACCCCTTGCCATATTTATATCTCATTCGAATTTAATACATATTTTTAGTTGGCATAAAAACAGACGAACAGACGAATGGACTCGCCCCAATGCTGATATACCCTATTCCTCAAAGAGTATAAATAAAATATACACGTATGTATGCATGTGTTCTGGTATGTGTGAGCCCGTGTGTGTGTAAGCACCCCTCAAAGAATTGCATTTCATTGCGAAAATAAAAGATTCCAATTCTGTTTTGTTGTTCTTTTGTTTTTTGTTTGGTGAAAAATCATTAAAATTCGGGGTAAGGGGCGGTGGGAAATGGCAAAACTTACTTGATTTGATTTGCATAAGTTTGTCGGCCGCCAGTGCCGCAAAGGCCGTGTAAAATGGTACGAAGCTACTTTCATCGTCGAAGAATTCATGTTCGCTGCATTAAAAAGAGACCCAAAATATTGTGTTAAACTGTTTACATTGTATTAAGTTTTGCGGCGGCGGCCATATTTAATTTTGCAAGTCACTTTTTTTTGCACTTGCAGAAGTCTCATTTTCTTTGCTGCGCCATTCAGCAAGAAAAAAAAGTTCTTTTTGTGTCTTTGAACTGTTGAGTACTCACCATCTGGTTATTGCTTTTAGCAGATTAACCACTTCGTTTTTGTTCAAAGCGCCCGTGCGGCTCAAAAGCAATGCTTTTAATACGGAATTCCAATCCGTTCCCCCGCTGTGGGACGACATTTTTCGTTTCGTATTAGAAAAATTTTATGCGAAAAGTCTAGGCCGACTTGTGTAGGTTAGCGATGTGAGTTGTGATGTTAACAATCTATCGATTTATATTGCGATGATAGCATATTTGTAGGTGATATTTAGCTTGACTGGATAATATTTGAACATGTATTTTTGTGTGGAATAATGCTATTTTTCTGAGTTCTGTTTAATTATTTGTTGTTTAATTATATCAGTACAACCACGACTTTTGATTTTACCTAACCATCTACAGCATAAAAGATATCGGTGTTGTTGTGCGATAGGCTGAACGAAATCGGCGGTTATGTTATGGTCGTATTACACTACACTTCCATACCGATATGGTATGAAAACACAACGATACACTTAACTCATATACCGCAAATTATAATTTTAGAGTATGAACTTATCTGCTGTCCACCAACTCCATAAAAATACCATTCTGTACCATACATATATCTCAAGGTGCTTTTTTGTCTTGAGCAGTGAGAAACTTGCAACATTGTTTCGCAACATGGGCATGATATGAGCAACATGCTACCCTTGGGGAAAAGGATATGATAGAGTTGACGAAATGTTTGAAATCTTAGACTCTAATCAATGCAACAATTAGTCTCAACTAAACTTTGTAGTTAATGGTGCCAACAATAGGTGTCGAGACCGAGATAAAGATACAGAAATCAAATCAAATGCATGAATAGTTAAAAACATATCAATCTAAGAAAATTCATTAAAAAGTTTTCAAGTTAGCTTTAAAAAATAATTTTAGGATCAAGTAACGGTAATAGGGCATACAAATGTCGATACTCATAGCTTTTACCGTGATGACCAGTAACGATGACGTCACACTCCGGACACACTTATGCTTTATGATTTCACCTTTTTGGCTTGAACCTTATTTTGCAATCAATCCAATAAAAAGCAGTCTTTCAAATTAACCAATCCCTTGAAAAATTGATTCATCAATCGGATAAAATTATATGTTCAATGAAGAAAGTCCTAACAAGCTGGCAATATTAAACAGAATATCAAAATCAAGAAATATGATTTCCGATCATGGACAGTGAACGATTAACCCCTTGTCGACCAGTGGGCATTATGAAACTTGAACATATTTTACGCATTTCAGGTGATGTCATATTGGTCATTTTTCTTTTGTAAGAAGATACAATTTTGCTGGCTTGGAAAACATCATTTTGTGTCAGTTATTCAACTGAAAGCCATTAGACGTGTTTAGAGACGACTATGAACAATAATTTTTTCATTTTGTCTCTCCTGCTACCCCCCTTACGCACCAAATTTGGTCTAAGTCTAATGTCAGAACACTATTAGCAAAGTCTAATGTCATATCACCTTTAAAAAAGATGTTCATATGTTTAAATATAGGGGGTTAAGTTAGTTTTTTTTTATCGATAAGTCCATTGCAAGACCGACCGACAAATAAACAAAAATTCGGCTCGCGACTCGGTTCGGTTCGCGGATGGTTGACAGAAGAAAATGCAGAAAAATCAGAAAAGAGGCGAAATAAAGGAAAACATATAATCGAGCGGAAACAGTTGTGGCCCGGTGGAGGTGGCAAAGGCGAAAATGCGACAAGGCAACAATTATACGTGGACCGTGCAGCAAAACTATAACTTTTAATAGTTTTCCGGATCCAAACCACAGCCGCAGCAACCACAACAAGATTTAAGTTGATTAAATTAACCTGGAAAATGCAATCAAGCGAAAGGGAAAGAGAAAGCAACATAAATCTGCTGGGTTATAGGGCATGCGATAGCTCAAAGATGTCATGGAAATGGAGCGATTTCTGCTAGGCCTTCCGTTTTTCCTGTCTAGTGAAAAGTGTGCGCAGGAAAATTGCTGACAATTCACTAAAACCAAAAAAATTCGTAAGAGGTAGCGTGCGGTGCGGAGGCGTTCGTTTCGGGAAAATTCAATACAAAAACGCGGAAAGCAAAAGAAAAACAAAAACTGCAAAAATATAAAGAAAAAGTAGTGACACACAGAGAGCGAGAGACAGAGAGAGGGCCAAGAAATATCTGTCGAAAGAAAGCAAAGACAGCTGTGCTTCGTTTACCTGTAAACAGTTCATGTGTGTGCGTGCATGTTCGTCTTCGTGTGTGTGTGAGAGCAGAAGATCAAAGTGAAATTGAGAGAAACAACAGAAGAGCACCGCAGCAGCAAAGCTACAACAATAGGAGGCTGCAGCCTCTCCATCTCTTCACTGTTTGTCCCTTCTTCGAGGACCTCCTGACTTCCTCTCTTTCCCTCCTTCGAGGATCCTCTCTGCCTGCCGACACTGCTAGTGTGATAGAGTGTGGACTCTTTTCTTCCTGCGAGGATCCCCTGCCGACAAGCATTATAATGCGTACAACAGCATCCCTACAAACGAAAACGACTACTTCCAAAGGCCGGCTTTTAAGCAACAAATATAAAAACCAACACTAGTCAACATAAAATAACACCAAACAACTCGACCACAAAAAAGAGAAAAACATATCCGTCAAAAACACACAAAAAAAAACAACTAAATTCTAAGTAAAATAGAAAGAAATCCAACTTCATTTTAAGTAAAATCAATTAAAAAATGGATTGGATAATCAACGATGAAATGGGCCTTACGGTCGGTCATGTGGTGGGCTGGGCTGCCGCATCAGCGATGGTCATTGGCGGCGTTATACCGTATGTTCCGCAGTACATAGAGATCAAGAAGACACAGGACGCGGAGGGCTTCTCATTGTACGTCTGCCTGGCCCTGCTGATAGCCAATTCTCTGAGAATACTATTTTGGTGAGTGTAAATTAAACGAAATTCATCAACGGATCTTTCATTAAACATCTCAATGGAGAGTTGAGTTACCCTTAGTGCAGGTACAGCATATTTCGCTGAGAATAGACCTACTTTTATCTGCTCACATCCTCCCTATAAAAGTATTCTTCATAGCCTTTTGTTCAGTACAACTAAACTCTCTTGCATTTGCACCTACATTTGCATGTTTGTATTCCAAAAGGTTGTATGACTAATCCCCCCCCATATCTGTGGCGTCTTATCTCGGGCAGGAGCAATATAAAACGCTTCGCTTATCGTCTGGAATGCTCTTCATGGTTTTTGTTCCATAACTGACATTTTATAACCAGAGCAGAGCTCCTCACAAACCCCTACTATATCTGGCTGTGTCATGATTTCTGGTCGATTTCATAGGCACATTAGATTGCTTCCACATTGTCCAAGGCTTTTGGACTCCCACCATTTATCTTTATTGAGTCTGCGATATGATACAACATTCGAGAGCTATACTATACGTCCGCTCCCGCATAATACCATATTGATTAGCTCCATTTTGGCTTGCTTTTATTACAATTATTTGTCCATTTACCAGCGAGATCATGATGGGTGGGTGAAATGATTACGAATGGTGTGTTATTTAGTAGGGAAAAATCTTGTGATTTGGAGATATATAATATCTACTAACGTCACAAAATATTTATAGCCAAATCGAATGGCATTAGATAAGGCGAATTATGATTTTAAATACTTTCGAATGGAACCTAAAAATACCAGAGAATAGATGGTAATGGGATGTGTAACTAGTACAAATACGGTCGTACATATATCTATAATATTTCAGATTTAATATATTGGCATTTAATTCGCCCTTGTGGACTTAATCCAAAGGTCCTTAGAGAGTGGTAAAAATATAATTACAGAAGCTCCTTAGCCTTTTTTTTCTTATATCATAAATGTTTCATTAATGAAACATTCATCTTTATGCTTCATGAATAATCAATATTTATATTAAATTTTCTTATAGGCTATACCTTTACCCCAAATCATCTCTGATTGCAGAAAATATTTTCAATTTTCTAAAAAAAAACACCAAAGGGAAATACCCCAACAATGTACATATTTATGTGGCTTAAGTGTTGATTCATCGCTCGGGTACACAAAAGCAAGAAATAAATCAAAATTCATAACAGAAATTTTTAATTCAATTTGAATAAGTGTGCAAAACAGCATCCAAATTTCGCAATGCCCCTCGAATGAACCAAACATCTTTTGGTCCCCATTGAAACCAGTAAAAACTGCTCTTTTGGTGAACGAATAATTATTTAATTTTGATTGAATTTTATATATTCTTAAACTTTTATTAAATCTTGTTATACTATTGCTTGGCGGCTGCACTCGTTTTCACGTTTTTTAAGGCCTTCGCCTACGACTACGACCAGGGTCAACCACTTTTGCTTAGCTGATTTGTGATTTCTGTTGCTGTTTGCTGCTTCTGTTTCTACCTCCCCTTTGCGAAAACCGCATCAATTATGAGTAGTCGTAGTTGTCTAAGGCCTGCTCTGGCCACTTCCTCACGTCACTCACGACACAACAATCTATAAATTATTAAAAAGAAAAGTAAAAATTTTATTGTACAAGCAACTGGTGTCCATCGTCGTAGACTACGACGACGACGTCAATTTGTCTGCCTCTTGTGGCAATCAATAAATTAATTATTAAGCTAGAAAACTGTTGCCCCCAGCAAGTACTTTAAATGGATCAGCTGTTCGACATTCTGCAACGCACCAATGCCACCAAAGCCCCCCAAGGCGCAGCGAACAATGTTTTGTTGTACGTTTATTGTGTACATATTTGTACCCTGTAATCGCTGAGCGGGCATGTTGTATGCGTAGAACTGTAGGTAAAGGAAAATCCACAGCTTTAAAACTAATTATTGGAGTACCTCTTGAGTATTTGCTTGGTTTTTAATTCATTTTTTTAACATTTGCTGCTCATCAATTCTTATTACAGGGTATTTCCATACTCGATATATAGCCTACATTTACAGCGTTTTTATGCACTATACATATATATATAGAGTGAGACGTTTCTATATGGGATATATATATATATACGTTTATGTGGGATACGTTGAAGGGAGGTGGTTTTTTTTTGTCACGCGATTGCATTAGACGCCCAGAGCGACATGAATTACTTTGAGTTTCTATGGGGTGGAGGGGATTCGATGGATATTGTGGGGGGGCCAAGTAACTTTTTAAAGTTCGCTTTCCTCGCTGGAATAATAGTATATAAAAAAATAGATACACCCGTTGATATTACTGCTCGCATGAGTATATGGGGGAAGTGCTTTAAGCAATTAAGCATTTCCTACATTTTTCCCTATTGTTTTCTTACTGACAAGAAATAATTATCATTATTTCTACCCACACAGACAGACAGATAGATTATGCCCCTAGCTGCTAAAATTTAACTGGCAGTTTATTGAAAATACAAACAAAACACGAAACACTTTAACTATTTTCAGCCACAACAAATTGCCAGAACTACTGACTATTCGCCTCGAATAGCAATTGCAATTAATTAATAAATGTGCAAAATAATATGTATAAATTATAAAGCAATTGTATGATAAATACGAGGTTATTACAGGGGCGACAGTTATTATTACTTAACACAAATAAGATACATGTACAGACAAAGATACAGATTGGAACAAAGTAACTCTCAGAAAATCGTAAGAGTATGACACATCCCAAAGTCTGTCATTTCTTTCTGCTTTTGTTGTAGATTTTGCCTTTTTTTTGTTTTTTTTTTTTGCATATTTAACATTGAACATTTCTGTGGTTGATACGAGTGTTTATTAATGTAGCTACAACCCATATTTTTTATCCATCAATAATTCTACGGAATCTAGTATTTCAACGGGTGGCTAGATGAGCTCATTGCCTGAATACTTACAAACACTTATTAATCATTTTGAGTGCCGGAGTGCTATATTGAGGGAATATGGGAATATTTGTATGTCAGTGAATTCCTGCATACTCTTCAGATAAGCTTCGGAGAACGGAAGAGTAGTCTCGCCTGAAGGTCTCAAGTGATAAATGAAGATAACTCTGCTCATAACTTTGATTGAATTATTCACAAGAAAAGTGAAGTGAAGGTTTTATCAATGGTTGGAATCAGTGTTGCATAATTGGGTAGAATCAGTGTTGGTAATGGCGTCAAGGAATATCTTATGCTATATTTGCATATTTTTATAGATCTTTGCACCTTTCGTCACATAACCCAAATGCCCAGAATTTTCATTAAGAGTTAATAATAAAACAACGCAAAAAAAGGGCGTTGTTTCTGGTTGTTTTGGTCACACCATCACAAATGCTGACCCATTCATATAGGGTCGTATATACTATATATAGTGTATATAAATTCAACATTCAACACAAGCAGAATCAAATTTCCAAAAAGGTTTCCAAAAAACGGATGACTCAATTCGCATTGGATCGGGCGGTCGGTCCGGCCATTGGGGCGTGACAGAGACAATACAGAAAACTGAATTATAATTTACACATACGAATATGAAATATATATACTAGATTTATAGGCATACTCGTATGCATATCTGTTTGGATTGTCAGTCATTTCTATATTTGTAACTTTACATTGCAACATTTGCTCAAATATTTACACAATTTGTCAGCAGTGCAAGGGAGAGAGTTGTACTGGCACTGGCACTGGCACTTCACACTTAACAAATTATCCACAAAAATTAAAGCACTCACCCGTTGACTGTAATTATAATTGTACGACTGCTCGTTAAGTGTAAATTGTTACAAAATGTTGTGCGCCAGGCATATTAAATATTTTCGTATTTTGCCAACTTTTCATTTTACAACTTCATTTCGAGTATACATTTCGCTTTTGCTTTTGCGGAAAAAGTGAAGGGCTCAGGCCAGAGAAGAGAACTTTGGGTTAAAGCGGCGGCGGTTCATTGAACCCAATATTTTCAGGCTTACAAAAAGTTGAAGCAATCATCCGTAGGAAACGTAATAGCCAAGTAGCAACCCGGGCTTCCGCTAATGGGATTCTGGAGTCTTCAAGTTTTGTGGGAAACGCTGAAGTTTTCACAAGTTATAATTATCAAAGTTTTGCCTTATTTATGACATTTAATGCATCTGTGGGATGTATTTTTAAGGAGGATAAATCTTTAAAATGAAACAGGCTAGGAAGTTTTTAGGTGAAAAATAATGGGTTATTAGAGAGCCAGCGATGGAAAGTCACGGAAGGAGTGCATCAGCTATAAGTAATAAAGTAATAATGAAACATTACAGAACTTTTCACTTAAGCAACTCCTTTCAACTGAATTTATGTTCTCATGTGTGAAACATTCTGAAGCATGCCTCTGTCTTTCACTCACATTCATTTAAAATTAATCATTCCTCCCATCGCTCCCACATGATGCTCGACTCGACAGGCACAAACGAATGATGCCAAAGAGAATGTTTGAGAGCCTGTCCTATATGTAAGAGTTGACGAATTTTTACCTCAAGTATTCCTAAAGCATTACACAACGCACTTTTTGGCACACACTTCGTTCAATACTCAGCTGCTTATCAAATCTGTTAAATATTTCGTAAAGGAAACACATGATTGTTGTTCATTAATTGTTTGGAAATGGATGGAGTATTCTTTTGTACATATACTCGTATGTATTTCCTCTAATGATAAGGTATGTACCTCTATAAGTACATCACTGTGATGATTGTAGGGTCTTTTGCACTCCCCGTCTCCATATCAGTGTAATGACATCTCCCCAAGCAATCTAGTTGCTGATATCGCCCCACATTCTCATTCCATTTTATGATGTTTGTGTTTGTGGAAGAGCTTCTTCTTATCGGCTGTACAGTTCCCCCATAGAACAATTGAGAGGTGTGTGTGTGTGTATGTCTGGGGGGAAAGATAACCCACAAGTCGGGCAAGTCAGTATCGCTTAGACGATGTCTACT